AAATCCTAAGTTTACGTTAGACTTTTAAAAAGGATTATTTAAAGCTTTAGGAATAAAGCTAATAGTAAGTATAAGTTATTATTTATAAATAGATAGTATATTAAAAAGAAAAAACTAAATAATAGAAATAATACTAAAATATTATATTATAATATTAAATATTTTATAAATAAAAATACTATTAGTTTTATAATTTAGCCTAAATAATATAATTAGTTTATTAATAAAATATAGCTTAAATAAATTAATAATAAGTTTTAAGCTATTAGAATTATTAAATATACTAAAGGTAAATATATTATTAAATAAAAATATATTAGATATATTATATTAGCTTTACTAAGAGGAGGTAAAGTATTTATTAAAAAGGGTAATAATAGTAGCTAAATATAGGTATAATTAAATACACTAGCTACTAGAGTTTATAGTTAAAAATTAAGTATTTTTAAAACTTTATTAAGGCTATAGCTTATTAAGTAAACTATTATATAAATAATTATAATAAAAAGCTAGACTTTTTAAAGTAATTAAAAAAATAAGCTTTTTAGTATATTAATTAAAACTACTAGCCTAATAAAAAATATATAATATAATCTTAATTACTTAATTAATATTAATAGTTTAAATACTTAACTTATTTAATTATTAAAGGGAATTATTAAAAAAAATATATATTAATAATAAGAATTAATAAGTTATAAATAAACTAGTTAAAAAATAAGTTAATAATAAAAAGTATTATTTATAAATAAAATACTTAGTTTAATAAAAAGGTTATAGCTTAAAAAAAAATAAATAAGTTAAGTATTAAAAGTTAATTTAGATAATTAAAAAGATAGTAAAAGAATTTAAAAATAAGACCTTAATAAAGAAAATAAAGAATTTATATAAGGAAATAGTAGAAGTTATAATAATTCTATAGATAAATATTTAAATTAGTATTTTAGTTAAATAACTAGTAAGGTAATAATAACTACTAATATTATAATAATATAAGGCTAAGAAATTACTAGTTATATAAGTAGATATATTTTAATAATTAGCTAGTTTTTTTCTTTTTTTTTTTATTAATTTATTTCCTTTTCTTTTTTTTATAAATTAACCTTTAGTTTCTTAACTAAGTTATTAATAACTTATTTATTAATAACTTAGGTTATAAATATAATTATATATTTTTTTTTAAAAGTATATTTATTATTAAAAATATATTTATTATTATTAAAAATATATTTATTATTATTAAAGTATATTTATTATTAAAGGTATATTTATTTTTAAAGGCGCGTTTACCTCTAAGATTAAGAATATATTTATTATTAAAAGTATATTTATTTTTAAAGGCGTGTTTATTTTTAAAAATATATAAAAAAGTTTATTTTAAAAGTATATTTATTAAGGAAAGTAAGGTTATTATTAAAAATATATTTACTTTTAAAATAAAACTAATTTAGTATTAAAAGTATAAATATATAATAATATTATTAATAAAAAACCCTATAATTTATATATTACTTTTAGTTAAATACCTATAGCTTAGAAAAAATAATAAAATCTAGGATAATTATAAAAGATTTTAAAAAGGCTATATTAATAAAAATATAATTAATTTTTTAATTTTATAAATACTTAAGGAATAAGAACTCTATAAGGTATTAGTAAAGGACTTATTTTAACTTATTAATATTAATATTAATAAATATATAACTTACTTTAAGGTATATATTAATAAATATATTAATATAAAAGCTATTTATATAAAAAAATAGTTTAAATAAGGTAAATATTAGGATTTCTTAGTAAAGCTAAAAAAGGCTAGTATATAAATAATATATTTTAAAGTATATTACCTTTTACTAGTCTAAATTATAATAGCTATAATAGCTATTATAAAGCTATAAAACCTTAATATTAATAATACTAAAGATATTATAATATTAATATATAGCTATAAAGTATTTAAATATATAATTATAATAATAAAAATTTAATAATAGGGCTAGTTATATATTATTAAAATTAACTAATTATATAAAAAAGTAAACTTTATAAGTAATAAGGTAATATATATATTAACTAAAACTAATTTAATAAATAAAAAAGTTTAGTTTATAAAAATATTTAGCTTAATAAAAATAAAAAATACTTTACTAATTATATATATTACTATATAGCTTAATTAACTATAGGTAAAGCTAAAGAAGCCCTCTTTAAACCCTTTAATTATATAAATTATTTAATATTTATTAAATAAAGAGATAGTTATTTTTAAAGTAGGTAAATTTATTAAAATAGCTATAGGGAAAAACTAAATAAAGGAGTTAAATAAATAACTAATAAAATTATTAATAAAAAAGAAAATTATTATATTTTTTACTAAACTTAAAATAAAGTTATTAATTTTTACTAATATAAAAAAGTATAATAAAATTCTATAGTAAATTAAGGAAAGTTTAGTAAATAAATAAACTATTTAATAAGTAATTTAGGAAAAAATATAAAAACTAGCTAAATAAGTTAATAAAAAAACTATAGTAAATAATATATTAAATAATTAATATAATATAGTTAATAAGCGCCTTAAGATTAATAAAATAATAAATTATAAAATTAAGTAAATAATTTAAATTATTTAATATAACTTCTAAGAATAAGAAATAAATATATAGTAATAAGTAAATATAAAAGTAATAAAGAATATTAAGTAATTAATAATAATTATAAAAAATAGCTTTAAGAATATTAAAATATATATTAATAATATTATTAATTAGGCTTTAGATAACTAGGCTAAAATATTTATTAAAATCCTTAAATAAAAAGGATTTATAAAGTTAAAAAGAAAATAATAAAAAATAAATAATACTAAAGAAAATATAAAAAAGTAGGCTAATAAAGTTAAAAAAAAATAAAAAAATAATAAAAAGGGTAACTAATATAAAAATAATATTTATTTAAGAAAGGTTTACTATTAGGCTTTTAGTTATTTATTACTTAGGTTTTTATAATATAAATATAATTTAGCTAAATAAAAGATAGTTATTTATAATAAATAGTACTTACTTTTATTTTTTAGTTTATTTATATAAGTAATAGGTATTTTATTTTTATTTAAAATATATAAATAATTTCCTTATTATATTACTTTTACTTTCCTTATTATTATTTTCCCTATAGTTATTTAAGTAATTAAGATAATTTTACTTTTAAAAAAGGGGGTAGTTATTAGGGCTAAATAAATAAATAAATCTTATATAGTTTATGCATAGTGTGTAAATCCATGCGGCACGGTGTGCTGCATAGTCTGCTTTTTAGTTACTTCACTAAGGTTAATTAGTTAGAGAGGAATTAAGCTTCTTATACTATTTATGTACCCTACTATTTATAAAAGGCCCTAGGCGCCTAATAAAAAAAATTTAAAAAATTTAAAAATTTAAAATAAAAGTTAAAATAAAAGTTTAAATAAAAGTTTAAAATTATATAAAATTATATAAAATTATATAAAATTATATAAAATTATATAAAATTATATAAAATTATATAAAATTATAAAAAATTATAAAAAAAATTATAAAAGATTATTTAAATTTTTTCATAAAAATTTATAAAAAAATTATAAAAACTATAAAAAAAAATTATAAAAATTATAAACAAAATTAAAAAAAATTATTACAATTTAATTAAGTTTATTAAATATTTAATTAATTAATTAAATTAATTAAATAGTATTTTTTTATTTAATTAATTAATTAAATTAATTAAAGAATATTTTTTTTATTAATTAATTAAATCTGGGTACTGGATTTAATTTAATTAATTTAACGGCAGCGCTGTTAATATTAACGCTAAACTCGGAAGACTTGTCCGCCGCGTTGAAGAGATGAAGCGGTTTCTTGAGACTGCCTCGTACTCTGAGGATAAGTAAACCGGATACTATCGCTTGGATTTTTTTTCTACGTGCTATTACGTTTGGGGTATCAGGAGTTTGAGACAGTGGGCCAATGTTGGCAACGCCAACGCCCTAGTTTGAGCCATAGCATCAACAATTCAAGTCTCTTCTTATAAATCAAATTTTACTTTGCCAACATCACTGATCAGCTCGCCGACATCCGGGCGAATCTGAAGAATCCGAAATTGGTCAACGACGAGTAGCATTGTTCCCTTTACGATTTCCCATCACCAATGAGTGATTATTTTTTGGTACGAAGCTGGGGTAAATGGGAATTTCTCAGAGGTATTTGACTTCGGTTTATGAGACACGGGACGACACTGTTGGCAGGATGCTGACACCTCGTAGTTAGAGCTCTAATAGCATTAACAAAGTCTCATTTATAAACTGAATCGTTGTGTGTTATGTACCAAGCAATCATAAATTAATGATACAATTACAGTCATACACACACACAGTATTTGAAAAAAAAAAAAAAAAAAAAAAAAAAAAAGGATTGACAGAGTGAGAGAGTGATTGGTGTTTGGAATCCTT